CAGCTATACTTCAATTAAAAAAAAAATCTTTTTAGGTACAGCTAAGGCTCTCCATCTCCACGGAGGACTCACTTTCCCTTCCCTCCTTGGGGTCAGCACTTCTCTTGATCATTCCATCAGGGGCCCTTTACCTGCATCCATGGATGGGATTTAGGAGATTGGTAGACTGCTGAATTGTATGTGAAATTATGTATGCACATCTTTTCCACACACATCACAGCTATTTAGGAAATCCTCTCAACTCCATCTTCTCGTGGTCTCCACTGCTACCACTGGTCAGAGCAGCATTATCTGCACTTGGACCATCCACTCCCTTTGACAGCTTCTGACATTTGAGTGTTAGTCAGATCTTGTTACCCCTTTGCTCAAATCCTACTAAAGGCTCCTGATTTAACTCAGAATAAAAATCAAAGTCCTCACAGACCATGAGGCCCTAAGTGATGTGTCCCCCCCCCCCCAGCTCGTTCTCTGCCTCTCCGACCTTGTTTCCCACTGAGACTGCGTCTCTCCCTCTCTCCAGTCCAGCCACACTGCTCTTCTCACTCTTCCTCAGGCACACCAGCGTGGCTGTGCCCTCAGGCTGTGCTCTCTGGCTGCTACGCTCTTTTCTCCAGATACCCACATAGGGAAGCCTCTTACATTCTTCTGTTCTTTGCTAACATTTCAGTTTTCAAAGAGGACAACCTGGCATAAGCTATTTAAAAATAGAACCTCATACCTACCAACCACTCTCTTACCCTGCTTGAATTTTTCTTTTTCCATAGCAGATTATATATTTACTTACTTATTTACATTCATTATTTATTGCCTATCTCTTCCGGCTAGAATGTAAGCTCCATAAGAGTAGGAATTTTTGTCTATTTTTGCCCACTGATGTTTCTTTAGTCCCTGCAATAGTACCCAGCTCCATGAATATTTGTTCAGTGACTAAATAAATAAGTAGATAACTGAATATGAACATTTCTTGCTGGAAAGTCCAGAACTTTTCATCAGATTTTCAAAAAATGTCTATGACACAAAATAGAATAGGAACCATTGACATAATAAATCATCAAAAAGTTTGCTGGAAATTTTTTGCCGGCCAGGTAGACTGCTTAATGAATCAGAGGGTCATGAGAGATTTTCTCTTTCTCCAACTTGTATTTCCCTGGAGAGCTACTGCTAGCAGTTACTGGGACCTCTAACCCCAGGGCTGGTGGTGAGTCTCCCTGGATCCAGGCCCGGTCTGACCAAGGTAGAGAGCCAGTGGGGCATTGGTGAAGAGTGTGGGCAGGAAATCTGGCAGTGGGCCCGTTCCAGAGAAGCTGTAATTTTCTTTACTCCTTCTGTGTCTGGGGGGAGAGGGGCAGAGGTCGAATGTGGCCACAGCCTCCTGAACTTCCTAGGGGGAGCTAGGCAAGAAGCCCAGACCAACAGAAGCCACTTCCTGCCTTCCAAGCTCCAAGTCTAGGCAAGGAACGAGACCAGGAAATCTCATAGGAGCCTCAACCAGGGAGACAAGACATTGGCCTGTGATGCAGAGAGAGATAATAGGGGAGTAGGGGGAACCTGGAAAGCAAAAAGATACCAAAGGCCATCAGGAGGTGATAATGGGAGTGAATTGGAGGTGAGTCAGCCAGCTCTTGGAGCAGTTAAAAGACCAGTGGGTAATTGTGGGTGCAACCGGCGGGTCACATACAGAAAATGAGGAACAAGTGGTTAATTGGGCCCACAAGCCCAGGATCCTGCCTGTAATTAGCAAATTGCAGGGCTTTGATATTTGCTTTGGTAACAACTTGTGTAGTAAATTGCAGGGAGGAAAACTGCACCCCCAGCCTGGGAGGTGACCCTGTGTCCATGCTCCCCAAACCATTTTCTCACAAACACTTATAGGCAGTGCACACATGGATATACCCCTAGCATTGGGAGGAGGGGCTATATACCTTTTTTGCAGGCTGACAATAGCCTGTGACACTTTTCTGTGTTTTGCTTTACCTCTTGCTTAAGTTTTTGCCAACTCAGGACTGAAGCTGAGCCTTGCCTCCTGGTGTTCACACCCTGATTCCTGTGTTTCCTTAAGCCACAGCCCCTGGCACAGAGCTCCTCTGACCAGGGATATAAACTAGGAGTGGCCATAGGGAATTCCCATGCAGGTACCCTAGTAGGGGATGGGGAGAGACAAGGAGTTCTGTTGCAGTATTGTTGAAATTTTGTCCGTGTGGATGGCCTGTGCTGGTCCCTGATCAGAGACTGGCCTTCATTGATTTCAGATCTGCATTTACCTCTGCAAGCTTCTGTGAAGTTCTAACTAAAGTGAAGACCAAAAGTATAGGAAAATTTGATTGGGATTTTCATGGTAAAACTGCATCAGTTGCCACAGATGCAGAGACTGGTGAGCATAGGTAATCAATCAATATGTGAAAGTATCAGGAGATACGGGTTTGAATTTGGACTCTCTACTGACTCTTTGTTGGATCTAATTGAGTTATTTAAATACATGTGTATCATCTCTGTCATTTATTGGTCTGTTTTTACTGACTGATTTTTCCCTTGGTTCTGGGTGACCGTGTTCCTGCTCCTTTATATGTCTAGTAATTTTTTATTAGAAGGTAGACATGGTCAAGTTGTATCATTAAGTATTTAGACTTTGCTGTCTTTTAAAGAGTGGTAGACTTTGTTTTGACTGGCAGTTAATTTACTCATGAAATGGTTTGATTCCTTTGAGTCCTGTCTTTGAGCTTTGCTGTAACAGAGTCCAGAGTAACCTTCGCTCCAGGAATGGTTCAGCCACTTGACTCAAATGTGACTCCTCTGGGTTCTCCATTGAATGCCCCAGGGGATCACCAAGGATTCTCCACTTTGACTGGTGCACAACCATTTCCCCACCTTGTGAGAGCTCTGAGTTGTTCAGACTACTACTCCCTTACTACTCATTTCTTTTGCCTGGTCTTATGGAGTTTCACTTTATATATACATGGACTAGTACTCAAAAGACTCAAGAGCCTGCTCAGCAGACTTACGGTGCTCTTTGTCTGTGTGCCGCCCCTCCTTTCTGAAATTGTGATCCGCAACTGCTATCTACCTGAGTTTCCCTAATCTCTGGTCTCTGTCTTCTCTGCTTAGCAAAGCTTCCAGGCTGAGCTTGTGATTTCCACATGGGAATTGCCCCCAAGCACAAATCCAGGGTTATTTTAAGGCTCACCTCATTGGCCCTTTCTCTTGAGGATCACAGTTTTGCACTGCCTCTTTCCCAGTGTCTGAAAGCAGTTGTAATTTTATCAAGACAATAAATTGATGTCTTCTTGAGTTAAAAAGAACTTGTTTTCCCAGTGCAAAAACAGAGCATAATAGTATTTTCTTCAAAAGTTAGTTAGAATACCTAAAATACATAATCAATCTGAAAGCATATAAAATGATGTATAAAATAAACAATTAAACAAAGTAAGAACAGTTAATAAACACTAGTTCTATCCTTGTTTTCCTTTGATACCAATAGTATAAATGGGTTTAGTGTTTTCATGAAATTGTAGCATTTTAGAGCTGCAAGGGATTTACTTCAGAGATGGTGGGTTGATCCAAATGCCTCATTTTACAGATGAACAGATCGAGGCTTAAAGAGGGGAAGTGGTTTTCCCAAGACCTCATGGCCAGTGAGCAGAAGAATGAGACTGGCACTTAGGTGTCCTGGCTTCCAGTCTATGAGGCATCCATTCATTTAGCCTACATTTAGTGAATATTTACTAAATTCAGAGCACTCAACTAACTGCTAGATTGCTTCTGTATAAGGTCCTGGTTTGCAGAAGTATTTTGAAATTGATTTTAGAACGTGATAGTAGGGTCAATAAGTCAGCATGTAATTTTAGGCTTCTCAGGAGTGGGTAGATCTGACTGGCATCAACTGAAGCAGCCTCCATTGTCCACTGTAGAAATGTGAAATGCTGCCAGCAGTCTGCTGCCTTGGGATTTCCATTATAGTGCTTCAGACATATGGACATGTGAGGGAATTGCTGTGGTTTGATGGCTGTGTCAGCCACAGTTATAGGGAAATTAAGGGTTTACCCTGCATGCCACTGTGCCAGGGACTCAATGCAAAGATGGATAATAAAACTTCAAGGAAAGAGATCAGTAATTTGCAAAATGTGAAAAGAGCCCCACATAGGTATCAGGAGGCCTGGGCTCTAGATCTAGTTTGTTACTTCTCTTCTCTGGGGCTAGACTTTCCTAACTGTACAATGAGTGCCGTAGACTGGATGACCTACAGCGTCCATTCCAGCTGCGGGAATCTTTACATCTGGTGCGCTACATCGAGCTATCCTTAGTGATGTGCCTGATACAGCCAGGGAGTGGTGAGGGGTGGGAGCTGAGCATGGCGGATGTGGGAAGGCATTCTAAACCAAAGGGGCAACATGAGCCAAGGAGACGATTGTATCATATTATAAAATTTCAAAACATTATATAGAACTCCACTCTTCTCTCAGAACAATGCTCAGAGTTTTATAGACTCTGGTTTGCAAAACAATGGTAAAGTGGGATAGTAGTCGATGAGATGGGAAATGTTGATCAGGAGGAGATCACAGACAGCCTTAAACACTGGCTTAAGGATTAGTGATTTATTCTGTAGGTTGTGGGGAATGATTGAAATTTTATGGGCAAAGGCTTATATGATTAGATCTGGGTTTCAGCTTTCTGGTTATAGTAAGGAGGATGGACTGGAGGGTTGAGACAGAAGGACAAGCCTGGAAGCTGACGCAATAGTCCAGGTGTCAAAGGATGAAAGGATGAAGGACGAAAGAATGAGGAGAGTAAATGGTGGAAGAGCACTGAGGATGAAGACATCTGGGGCCCGTCTGCTGACACACGTGGGGGTAAGGGAGGAGCCCACATTGCTTCAGTATTCCAGCCCATGGGAGAAGTGGGTGGTGACTGGAGAGCCACCTCAGAGCCTGAGCAAAAGTAGAAAGAGGCTTAGGAAATAGACAAATCTGAGTGCCCATTTGATTCATTCTGAGTTTCTTCCACAGTAAAATAAGGATGAGTGCACCTATTCCTCAGAGTTTTGTAAGGACTGATGGATTCATATGTCTGACAGTGCCTAGGACATGTAAGTCCATCCATCCATCTATTGGTTACATCTGTGCAAATATGGAGGGAAATAATTAGTTCAGTTAGGACCAGAGCAAGCATTTCAAGCTCATTTTGAGTAAACAGATCATGGCCGAGGTGGGGTCTTTGTGGGGTTGGACCATTCCCCCACTCCCAGACACCAGGACGGACCACAGTTCAAGGCCAGGAAGTTGTTTTTTGGCAACAACAGTTTCCTTTCTTTCCCTTCCTTTCATTACCAACACCCTACTGCAGTCCATTTCTAGGCCTCTAATTCTAATGTAGTTACTTGACCAAAAAAAAAAAAAAAGAAGAAGCAGGAACACAAACATCAAACTGATTCATGTATTTCCTTGTTGGCCTCCTCTAAGAACACACCTGTGCCAGGTACCTGCCCGTAGCTGTATAAGAGACTGTTACTTGGGCTCTTCTCCATAACTGGCCAGTAACATCAGGATTGAAGCCCACGCGGTCACCTTGCCTTGGGGGATACCGACTTTGCCCACAGTGCCCCGTGTAGCCTGAGATCACCCGCAGCTCTTCTGTGAGGTGAGCAACACCAGGCACTATTCCTCAGGCTCCTGAGCCTCGCTCAAGTCACACCTTGCTCAAATCAGCCAAACCCTTCCGCACTGGCCTCCTCCCTTTTTCTCGGTTTCCAAGGAGCCGTGCCCTGCGCAGGCAAAAGCCTTCACTCAGCGCTCTCACCAGGACTGGCGCGCTGCGTGTGGAGCTGTCCGCCAGCGCAGCAGAGCGGAAGCGGGGCGGGCAGCGCTGTCGGGAGAGCAGGGACTTTAGCGGTGCCAGATCCCTCCTTTCCCAGTTCCGTCTCTGCCCTAGGTCACAAGTCCCACGACAGGGCAGCTCCAGCTACACTTCTCGGATTTAGGGGAAGCCTGCAGGCTTTTACTTCCCTCTTTTGCTTCTGACCCAAACTGGATGTTGTATTTTACCATTCCCAACCACTGAAGGGTTGGGTCTGAGTCCCTTCGCCTTGAATCTGAGTTTGCTTGTGACTGCTTTGACAAGTGGCCTGGCAGAAGTGACCCTTTGTGACTCCAAAGCTAGGTCATAAAAAGCCAGGGAGCTTCCACCTTGTTTCCTGGAGACTTTTGTTTTCTGATCAACACTCCCTGCTGAACTCAGCCTTGCGACCGTGCCCACCCGTGAACCTGACGTGCAAGCGAAGCCATCTCAGACCCATCAGACCAGCCCATCCGCCAGCCGAATTCCTCCAGGTAATTGTAGTTACACATGGAACAGAATTGCTCAGCCAAGCCCCGCCCAGGTTCCTGAACTGCAAAAACTGTCAGAATACAGTGGTGGTTTTAATCCACTAAATTTGGGGATGGTTTGACACGCAGCAATAGATAACCAGAATGCTAAGTGTAAATAGAAGAAACTGCTGATGGCTTTTGATAAATTTAGGCTGATTTCATGTGATTTATGCCATCCACCTGTTCCTGACCACGATAATTCCATTTTGCTGAAAACTTGGATGAGGTTACCTCTGAACTAAGCCAGAGCTTCACCTGGGTTCACGAACAGCATCCTGAGCTGCTGCAAAGCTTTCAAGTACCCTGACTCTGGTTTGGTTGTCAGTTAACATCCACTCTCCCCATGCCAGCACAGCCCCACACTCTGCCTTAATCCAGAAGATCTGCAGAGACGGCCACAAATTGGAAGTGTGGCTGCAAAAGCTGTTTTCTGTGCATCCAAGTAAATGACATAGACACATTTTCTCAGCATCTTCACATACAGAGAGGGTAGCTTCCCATTTCTTGGATTGTACCTGGCTTCACACATGTAGTGCAGGATTTCCATATGGCTGTTTTTCTCCTATTACCAGCATTCCTGTCCTTAAATCCCAGAGACCTTGATTTGGGGTAGGTTCCCAGTTTCCCTAGTGGGGTGAGTGTGGCAGTAGGGATGAGCTGTATTCCCATGGTCAAGTGACATGCTTATGTGTGCCCTTCTCACAGTGTGCTCACAGGACAGGCATGGACCTGGAGTCGGAAGGATGTGGGTTCAGACCTGAGCTCCACCCGATGCTCGCTATGTGACCTTAGATAAGCTACTTAGTCTCTTTCAGTCTTAGTTTTCTCATGAGTCAAAAGGATACAGTTTTCACCAATTTTACAGGAAATAGGAGGCTGTCTTAGTTGGGGTTTGGCCAGAAGCTTGACCGTGAGAGGAGGCTGTGAGTGTAAATGCTGTATTTGGTAGGTGGGGAGGGGCGAGGAGCGCAGGCAGAGGTGACGGCAGGGGTATGGGGAAAGGAAGGCAACCAGTCAGGGGTTCATTATCAAGCCGGTCACCACTGCGGGTGACTGCAGCTTCATTCCAACAGAGACGGTGTTGGAAAAGTGTAAAACACATGCCCTGAAAATCATTCTCCCCGGGGGGCGAGGGAGCTGGGGTATTTCAACACCAACTCCACTCAGTCTGCTGGCTGAAGGCTGTCCCCCACAGGGGCTAATTTCCCAGAGAGAGCCAGTGTCCAAGCTCAGCTGGACTGCTCCATTCTTGAAAAAGCCCTCAGGCCCAGAGACACAGATCCTGGAAGCTGGAAGTTTTCTGGAGCATACTGAAGCGATGAAGTCAGAGGGCCATAGGCAGTGCTATGATAGCATCAGTTAGAGAAGACTGAACGCGATGTGTGTGAAAGGCTGGAGTCCAGCATGCCCCCCCCCACATGCCAGCTCGTTTCTCTTCTTCCCTTTCCTGATCTCCTTGGCCCACAGTGTCCTCTGTCTTCTCCTATCCTTACTGAGTGCCCAGGTCATTTGGAATTTCATTCATACTGTCTTACCCGCCGGTATCTTGTCCCTCAGATAAACAGTAAGTGCATCAAGGGGCAGCTCCGCCCACTTCTTAAACTTTGTTGCTTCTCCCCTAGTACCCAGCTTAGTAAGAAATACTAAGATGCTAAGTAGTGAATACTAGTCACATCACAGGGCAAACCACCTTGGCTGATAATGGGAAGGGCTTGTACAGGTCTGGTGGGGTGAGATTTGTAACAGTGACCTGACATATGTAAAGTGATACTAACACAAGGGGCAATTTGTAATCCAGTGGCTTGTTCCTCTTTAATTGGTGGTACCTCGATCATGAGGTTCAGGGGCAATAGTGTGTGGAGGAGACAATGACTCTCAAAGTAAAGAAGAAAGAATATATTCTGGGAAAACAGTTTTCTAGTCCTGCTTTACTTTCTCCAGTTATTGGGAAACAAATACTCTGTTATCCTCCGCTTGGTTTGTATGATACTTGTATTTAGACATTGGCATTGGCCATGCAGTGTGTCAGTTATGGGAGAAATGAACCATTTACTGCAGGCACTTTCTAATGATTTGTATGTTAATTCTCATAATAACTCTCTGGAGGAGAATTTGTTCTTTCCATTTTATAGATGAGAAAATTAAGGTACAGAGAGATATTGGGCAAGCTGCCCAAGGTCACACAGCTATTAAGTGGCAGAACCAGGATTTAACCAGCTTGCCTGTTCCAATAATGGCCGTAATAATGAACACATGTACCACTTTGTCCTAGACTGCCTGGGGACCAACATTGTGTTTGTGTCCTAAATCATTTTTCCCTTCCAGCTCCAAGGTTCAAGAAAGCAAACTCTTGCCCATGGTCATTTGGCAACTGGTACTGATAAGTCTAATACTGCTTTCTGTGTACTTTCTCTTGTATTGCTCATATGTCCGTTGTGATCAGAAGTTCACCAAAGTGCTTACCTGGATGGAGAGTGATTTCCCAGGATCATATTTGCTCTGAAGGATCTGATTCTTGGGGAGCAGAGGATGTAGGTAAGGGAGTCAGAGCCTCAGTGGGGAGTCAGGAGTCATGGGTTCCCATGTAGCTGGAGCCTCCCTGAGGGGATGATGAGATGGTCTGAGCTCAAGGTAAGGTGACCAACTGTCACGGTGTGTCCGGGACTGAGGGATTACATGGGACATGGGAGTTCTAGTGCTAAAACTAGGACTGTCCTGGGGAAGTCAAGATGACTGGTCACCCTGACTCACATGCCAAAGTACTAAATGAGGAATTCGTTTTAACCAGAAAACAAGAAGGAAGAGCTCTACAGATTTTCAAGGTGCTAAGAAGAAAGCTTTCTAGATGTACCTCAAAGGTCAAGTTTCTGAGGCTTAATAAGAAAGCTGTAGTGGAAAGAAATTCGAAATAGAAGACGCGGAGTCCTATCTATGAACTTGATACTGTGTGACATAGGACATTATTCTAACCTCTCTGAGCCTCCACTTGCTCACCTGAGAAATGGAGAAGATGGCCTCATCCTGTTTTAGTCACTGGGCCTATGGCTGCCATCAGCAATGACATATGGAGCTGAAAAGTTGCTCATTTTCAGACACTCGCCACATTCCTTAATAGTCATATTGAGCCACAGAGAACAATCACAATGGGAAACAGTAAGTTCAGGTCATCTTGATGAGCAAATGGGAGGTCAGCCCTGTGGGGAGATCTAACACCTCTACACACAACTCTAATTTCACATAGAAAGTCATAGGATCCTGTCAGCTGGTAGATGAATCACACTCACCTGGTATCTGAGAATGTATCAGTCCCTTGCAGGGTCTCCAAGATCCAAGATGCCCGGAAACTACATATTGATTAAAATGAAAAAGGCAAGTCATTAGAACTCCCAGTCCCAAGAATCTGTAATGACTGGCTTGTCTCTCCTCTCTGCCTCCCTCTGACATTGTTCCTGTGACCTAGACTCTGCTGTCACCTGCAGCCCACCTCCCTCTTTGCAGGGCACAGTGACCCTACTTATTACTTAAGTGCCATGCATCGGCTGTGCTTCCTTCCTTGGGCTAATCTGTGCTGTGGTCTCGGCTCAAGTTAAGACTTGGCTCCTGACCCAGCCTCTCCCATCTGCTTTTTCCAGAATCAGATCTATGGATATGAAGCCGTGGAAGTTGGGGTCACATGATTTGGGTTTTACTAGATTTGTGTGTATCTGAGTCTCCTCTTTTGTGGGGTCCAGGGATTTGGCTGCTAAATGACTTGGAGAAGGTTGGGATGACTCTTGGGCAGCACACCGTGGGGCCTCCAGATTAGCGGCTCTTAAACATCTGCACGCACGACGTTTAATCACCTAATGTGCATGTGAAACTGCCGTTTCCTGGCTGATGCCCCAGCAGTTCTGATCCAGTCCATCACAAGAACGTGAGAGTAGTATTATTATTATTATTGCTGTATAGTTGATTTACAGTGTTGTGTTTCAGGTGTACAGCAAGGTGGTTCAGTTATACATACATATATACATATATTCTTTTTCAGATTCTTTTCCATTATAGGTTATTACAAGATATTGAATATAGTTCCCTATGAATATTGAATATGTGCTATATAGTAGGTCCTTGTTGCTTCTGATGCACATATTCTGTGAGTTATATGTTATAGAACTGTTGCTGGGAATTGAGGTGCTTTAGTGAAAGAGATATTCGGGCTAAGCTAGAAATATGTTACTACAAACTTTTACAGACTGAGGGTGTGATATTTAAAAAATAATTTAGCCTTTGGTGCTTTGCCTCGGGGTGCTGTTGCTGACTGAGATAGTCATTGTTGAGAACTGAAACAAGTTTTGGGAATGTTTTTCATTCTCTGATTGTTGGATATTGGTGAAATGGAAAATTGACCCAAGATCTTGGACACCTTTGTGATTATTATCTCCCTTCTCCTCCTGACATTCAGGAAAGTGAGATGCAGAGATTACTGTACCCATTTTATAGATGGAGAACGTGGCCAAGTTCCTTGGCTTAGGAAAAAACTCCATGACTGCATTATTTTCCTGTTTTTAAGCGTTTGTACATACATTCCCTCGTTTGGCCCTCGCAGGAAATTCTGCAGGGAATATCATTGTCTCTGTTCTGCAGGGGAGGGAATCTAGGCTCCGAGAAGATATGGGACGTGCCCAGGTCACAGGGTGAATAAGTGGTGATGCCAGGACTGAACTTTCTAGTCTGGTTCCTGACATCATACTCTTTTCAGCACGTCCAGTGTCTCTTTAGAGGAGACGGCAGCACACCTGAGACTGGAGCCGAGAGTCTCCGAATATCGGGAAGCAATGGTTTTTCCAGGCCTGTGGACACTTCTTCCAAGGTTTAAGATCCACTGTGACAGTTTTCTTGATCCTCCCTCACATCACTTCCTAAGCAGGGAAAAATGAAAAGGGACCAGTTCCCAGTGACTCCCCTTGGACTTCCAGGATCAAACAAGGACAGATGACAACTTAATGGAAAAGAAATGGAGATAAAAATAGGAGGTAAAAGTGACAAATGGCCACGGATCCCCCGGCTGCATCCCTGCCTCCTGTCACGGCTCTTTCTGTGTCTGGCACCTTCGTCTCACCCACCCCGGGGCCCCCCGGGGGAGGCGGGGTGGTGAGCAGGACAGCTGTTGGGATTTATGGGGCTGGTGCAGCCCCTCTCCCCCTCCTCGTGGTGGGGAGGGGAGGCCCGATCCATTTCCTCCTGGGTAAACATTTTCACAGGAAGCGTTTATCAGATGGCGGGGAGGCAGCTCAGGGGTCTGGGATCAGTCAGCCAGGATCTGCTTCTCTCCACCTCTCCCTGGTGAAGGCTGTGGCTTTTCTCCTGAACATTCACACTCTGTCTCTTGTTCTGGCTTCTCTTTACCAGCTGAGCTAAGGGAGAGGGGGCCCGATCCTGGGACACCCCAAGTCCACTCCACCCTTTAAAAATTATAATTTTTTTAATTTTATTTTTTTGGGTGGAAGAGGTAATTTGGTTTATTTATGCATGTATTTAATTATTTATTTTTAACAGAGGTACAGGGGATTGAACCCAGGACCTTGTGCATTCTAAGCATGCGCTCTACCACTGAGCAATACCCTCCCCTTTCCTCCCTCCTTTTTAATAAACAGGGTTTCTGTCAGCCTGGGTCCTGTCATGAAGCTGATTTCCCAGATCCTTCCAGAAGAAATGCTGATAAGGAAATGTCTGGAAAAGCCTCAAGCAGATAAAACTCCATTACTCCTCAGGTGCTGGGCTCTGCTGGCCTTGGACTCTGAAACCATCCCCCTTCCTCGGAGGGCGGACCCGCGACTTGCACTTGACTCTTCAGGTGGGGGAGGGCTGGCCATGCAACACTGATTCCGGGCCCTCTCCTGGATTTTCAGACTCTGGTTCCTGCACCTTGACTGCTTTTGCCTCACGGTGCTCACAGCCTGTCATCTTTTCTTTTATGAGAACCGGTATGAAGTCGTAAAGAGCTGAATCTCAACTCCGCTGGCTGTTCACTATATGACCTTAGGCAAGTTACTGCATCTCCTGGTGCCCAGTTTCCTCATCTAGCGTTTCTTTTTGTAAATTAAGAGAGCACCATCTCTGTCCTAGGCACTGGGCACAATGTTGGAGCAAAATGTTACCTCCTTATAGGTTTGTGGTGAGGATTAAATAAGGCGGTTCAGTGCAACACCTAACAAGTGGTAGAATGAGTACTCATAGCTGTCAGCGAATACAGTTGTTCTCACTGTTGTTATTTCCATGTCTGTTGGAGAAGAGCAGGGTTTGAAAGGCCCTTGGTAGCCTCTGACCCTCGGGCCATCACAGAGAACCCTCTGTTCTTTCCACTGGGTCGGGGCTGCTGTCTTCCTAGACTTCTCTTGGGAACCACAGCCCATTCACTCACTCGGTATTTTAATCATTCAAAACAAAAATGCACTGAGTTTCCTTTGTGCTTCAAAGAGGAATTAGAAAGGCAGCAGCCACTAGGCTGGGTGTGTGTGTGCACAGAAGCCATCACGAGCTGCAGCTAAGTCAAAGATAGGAAGAAGCGAGGCTCCGGAAGGGCTGGTCAGTAGCACTCCTTCAGCGGAAGAGGAGGCAGTTTCCAGGTGGAGGTCTGAAGAGAGGCTTCATGGAGGGGGTGCCATCTGGGCTCGGCTTTAAAGGAGGAGGAGATTGGTGAGTCCTGTAAAGATGGGAGCGTGCATGAGCTGTGAGGCCTGTTCCCAAGGCAGAGGAAACCACTTCATCCTGAGAAGATGAAGCCTTTGGTCTCAGGGCTGTCAGTTAATTGTGCAGACATTTTAAAACTTCCATTGGGTTGCCAATAACACTGGTGGGTCATTTCTTGATCACTTTTGGGTCAAAACTTCCATTGGATTGCCAATGATACTTATGGGTCATTTTTCACAAACATAATGTTGTTTGAATTTCACCAGACTGAGTGAGTCAGACAGAGCAAGAATTATGTTGCCCACTTTCTGGATGAGGCAACTGTGACTCAGAGAGGCGAAGGGATTTGACTATTCCACGAAGGTGGTCAGTGGGAATGTGGTCACTGAACTCAGGTTTCTTGACTCCAAAGCCAGAGCACTTTCTCGGGCATTCAGCTGCTACCCTCCTCCTGCTCCCCCATCCCACCTCTCTCAGGCTGGTTAAACTGGTCTTTGGAGGCAGAAGAACTTTGAGCTAGTCCCTCAGCCTCAGCTGATGCTGCACCAGCACTTGCCAGGACTCTGCAAGAGCATCCTTAGAGGCCCCCCTGCTCCCATCAGACGGCTTCCAGTCCATTTTCTCTAATCACATCTCCTGTGTGGAGCAACCTTTCTAAAGCCTGGATCTGGAAAACCTTCAGTCATTATCCTGCCCCTTACAGGACCAACCCACACTCTGTCACTCATTCTTCTAGGCCCTTCAGGATCCATCCTGCCCTCTGGGCCTCCTCAGACTCCTTCCTGGCTGGCCTCCTTTGTGCTTCCTGTGTGTGAGATGCTCAATGTCGTGCAGTTCTCCAAATGCTCCAAGTAGTCCCCTCCTAGTTTTGTGCCTACATGGGCTCTGGAAGCCAGACTTCCTGCGATTAGTACTCAGGCCCACCATTTAAATAGCTGTGACTTTGAGAACAGTCTCCTCGATGGCACTATGCCTCAGCTTCCTTATCTATAAGATGAGGATAATAATAGTACCCATCATGTGAGGATGTCATGCAGACTCATTGACTTCATACATATGTAATGATTAGACCACGGTGTGGTGCATAGTAGGTGCTCAATAGGTACCATTGTAGCTGTTCACTGTGCAGGAAATTTTTCCCAGGCTGGTGAGTTCCCTCTGCTGGGCTAGTTCTCTCAGGCGCCTTCCCATGTTGCCTCCTCCAGGAAGCCTGCCTTAACGGCCCGAGAGGAGTACCTCTCACTGCTCTACTGTGCTCATCCTCCCGCTGTAATTGCTGGCGTGAGTCGGCCTCCTCACCACAGTTACAGCTCCTTGAGGGAAAGTCTCGGTTTTGAGATCCGGGGCCACAGCTGAGTCACTGTGAAACTGACCATGCTCAGCACGGCCCTGACACACAGGAAGTTCTCGTGCCAGCCTGTGGAGGGAATGATCGGCATGTGGGACTGGGACTGAGGGCCTCGCTGGTGACACAGTCACTGATGTGTTGGGTGACTGACCAGGGACACCTCTCCACACCTTTGTTTCCCCAGAAACAGAATGGATGACTGGCCTCCCTGGTCTGACAGATGTCCCGAAGGTCACAGTACCTACAGGACCACACCGGTAACACCCTGGAAGGTACGACACGCTTTGGAAATGAAACAGTGAATGTCGTATCACAAAAACGTTAGCCTGTGAACCAGAGTGTATTTACCAGGAGGTGACAAAACTCCACAACAGGGCCCCTCCTCGCCCAGGCTCCTTCCAAGGCCCGGACTCCATGTTATACTTGGCACTTTGTATTCTTTTTCCTGCAGATAGTCCCCTAAACTGTACTAGCTTCAGGACCCCAAATCCCAGTGGTCTTAGAGTTCATCCCTCCCTGGTGAGTTCCCCATCTTCTCTGTCTCTGGGCAGAGTCAAGGAGGAGGACCCGGAGCGGGGCCCCTGTCACACTCTGCCCTATCCTGGCTTCCCACACTCACCTGTACCTGGACTGCAGCTCTGGGAGTTGCCAGCATCCGTGCAGAGCCCCTCCCATCACCAACACCCACGTCTCCCTCCTCCCATGGGGCTTCTTAGGTCCTCAAAACCTCCCTGTGGGCTTGGCTCTGAACTCCACCCCACCCCTCCACATTCGGGCTGGCCTCTTAGAGTGCAGGCCTCCTTGGACTTTGGACATTCCAGCCCCTCCCTTCCAGGGCATGGCCTCCACCTCCATGAACCACAGCCCTGGTCAACAGCCCCCACCCCAACCTTCAAGGGCTGGCTGTCCCTTGATGAGTTCCCACTGCGGGTAGAGGGAGTAGGGGGATGGCAGGGCCAAGTTAGATGCATTCAAACCATTTCCTTCAGGAGGAAATGTCATTTTCATAAATACACTATTTGAAGGCTCCCTACCCACACCATACAGGGCACATTTCTCAATCCTGGTTGCCCTTTTGAGTGATTCAGAGAACTTGAAAATATACTGGTGACCAAGGACCACTCCAGAGATTCTCTTCTAATTGGGGTGGGATGCAGCCCGGGTGCAAGGAATTTTTAAAGCTTCCCAGATGATTTTCACATGTGGCCAAGATTGAGCATCACTGTTTTAGAGGCAGGAGGGTATAGCTCAAGTGGTAGAGCGCATGCCTAGCATGCCTGAGATACTGGGTTCAATCCCCAATACCTCCACTGAAAAATCAAATAAATAAATAAACCTAATTACCCCCCTCCCCCGTTAAAAAAAAAAAGAATCACTGCTTTAGGGAACAAGCACGATCTGTCAATATGAAGACAGACAGAAAGTGAGTTTGGGACAAAATGAGTTTGAGCATGAGTAACATACACACCCACGCTTGCTAAACTTGCCTCCCTGATTTGACCTGAAAGAGACACACCGTGGTCTTCGGCTCCCTCCAGGCCCAAAGCTCTGTGTGGTGGGTGAGGCCACGCTGGCTCAGCCCATGCCCCAGCCCCAGGAGGGCAGGAGCTTTAAGGTAGAAGCAGGGATGTTTAGGGGAGTAGAGCCCAGTCTTCTTTACTTTGGCATGCCCCAGGCCTGAGTCAGAGGTCACGGGCTTGCTGGGAGCTCGGGACAAGGGCGCAGTGTTCGTCTTCCAGCCGAGCCCTGGGTGCCACCTCACGCCTGCTCCTTCTCCTGGCTCCTCAGCTCCGAGAGTTGTACCATCATCGTCTGGGCCGCTTAGTCTCCACAGCTCACTCACCCTGGACTCTGATTCCACCTCCTTCCAAATCCAGTTGGTCACCACGTTCTCTGCACTGCTCCGCGGTCATCATCTAGGTGCCCTTCTCCCCAGAGCCCCTTGCTGCTTCTACTAGAAGCCTCTGCTCTGGACTTCCTGTTTGTCTCTCTCCACATCAGATCAATGTTCCTGTCTTAGTGAGTCTCTCTCACACGCAGTCTGCAACTGATCTGAGAGCCAAAACCTCCTGTGGTTTCCCTTGGCCTAGCCCAGTGGATCTTCAAGCATCCTCTGTGGACCATCAGCATCACTGGGGAACTTGTTAGAAATATAAGTGCTTGGGCCCCACCTGCAGACCCACTGACTCAGAGCTCTGAGGGTGGGGCCCAGTAATCTGCTTTAAGCAGCCCTCCAGGCACTTCTGCTGTGTGGCCTGGACCATGCAGTCCAAACTCCTGGGTGTGGCAGTCACGATCTCCCACACTCTAGTCCCAAGTTGATCTGTTTGTCCACTTCTCAACTCTTATATCTCTCATATCTTCCTGTGGGACTCTGCTCATACTGTTCCCTCCCTCAGAAAGCCTTTGACCACTTCCAAGTATCTAAATCCATTTCTCCTCCAAGATCCAGCTCAAACATCCTGTAATTTTGGCAGATCCCAAAGATTCCTCCTCCAGGAACATTCTTCCCTTCCCTGACCTCCACAGCATTATTTCCTTTCCTCCCCTCTCCCTCCCTCCCCTTTCTTTTTCTTTTTCTGAGTTTTACCTTTAAAGCAGGATTTCTTTGAATCATGATTATCAGAGTCACTCAAGGAACTTCTAAAAATATATATGCCCAGGCCACACTCCAGAGAAATTAAATCAGAATTCCAGGATGAAGCCTGTAATCATCTATTTCAAAAGATCCCCAGATATTTTTAATGTATACCTGAAATTAAGTCCCTCTTTCCTAAAGCGACCAGACGGAAAACCATGATAGGAAGAGAGGTGAATTCACAGTTCAGAGACCCAAATTCTGTTCAGGGCTCTGTCCCAACTGGCTGTTTAACTTTGAGCAGGTCACGTGCCCTCTCTGAGCTTCTGTTTCCCAAATTGTTAAATGAGGCTTTATTTTAGATCAGTGGCTCCCAAAGTTGGTGGATGCCTAGATCCCATCCCTAGAGATTTCCATTTAATTGATATTAGGGTGGAGGGGCTGGATTCTACCTTGCAGCCAGGGTTGAGAACCACTCTCATAGATCTTGTCCAGGGGCCATGAAACTGGGTCTGATGGTTTACTTTTGGGAAGCAAGCATGCCTACCTCTTCAAATCCGTGGATTTCTCTGCCTCGGCTCCTATTAACCTTTCCTCCCCGAAGAATGAATGCACACCTGGTGTTGGTGATGGAGAATGAACACATGTCTGGTGTCAGTGATGAAAGGCACGTGCATTTCCTTGTCTGGTAGCAGGGCAGCCAGGGACATTGGAGCCTCCCACAGGCGGCCATGGTGGGTGTGTTTGGCCATCATGGCAGAAGGAGGATTAAGGATCAGATGAAAATCCTCACCAGAGGCCTGGCGGAGTGTCACTGAAGGGGCTCATTTTTCAGCAATCTCAAGGCCTTATGTGTCTCAGCTCCAAAAATCTTTTTTCCACCAGCACAGCCGGGAAGACAAGTTCCCCTTTACATCAGGTCACAGTTAAAGGCAGGTGTAAAAGGAGAACTCATAAGGAGCAAGAGACAGGGTGCACCCAAGGCAGTTGAGGTCGAAACTGGATGAGAAGTCGGGCTCCAGCCTGAGGAAGGCAAAATGACCCAGCTTGGAGCGGAGGGGTGGAGGGGAGGAAATGGTCTGCTTATTTAAGGGGTGGGGGCGGGAAAGGGAAGTGAGTGCTTACATAAGCACCTCTCTGGTGAAGGTGTTGCTGATCCCGGGAGATGCCCAGCAGTCATCCACAGTGGGCCGCTCTGTTTATCTGCACATCAGGCTGTTCCCCTGCAAAGGAAACCAGCCCAAGTGTGGGGGAGCCCAGAGCATGGACCTTCCACCTCAGGACCAGGAGGGTGGAAGAGTAAAGATGGGAGAGACACTCCCTGAGGTCTTCGTGCCTGCCCCTGCCGTCCCCACTTACAAGGAACCCTTTCTTACTCTGCTCTGTTTTTCCAGGCCCTTTCCCACAGTGATTCCCTCTCCTGAGAGATAGGCTGGTCCTGAGTCCTGCTGCTGCCAGAGGAGGGAGGGGCTGTGTTGTGCAGGAAGAGGCCTGAGTTGTTTTGTAGATGAGAAGACAGTTCTGGCAATGCGGTGTCTGGCCCAGGCCAGACCTGGGAGCCAGGGC